TTGTACAACTTCATTTCATTATTCTTAACATTAGCCGTTACTGTCGATACTACAAACGTTGTAAGTCGTGTATGCAATTACCACTATCTTCTCTGAAACATTTTATTTGCACAATAAATTTATAAATTAATTATTCTGTTTTCCAGTGCTCAGTAATGTTAGATCTTTTACCATTGACGAAAGAATATAATAGCGAAAATAATAAAAAATATAATTTAATTTGGAAAGGGAAACTAGCTCTTCTCCTTTTATATGGCGAGCTTAAACTGAGCTTTAAAAACATAGCTTCTACATACGTAGATATGGTATGATATAAAATTTGAGGTCACTAAATTTGATATCTTATACTCATTACCCTAACTAAACTTACAGGTGAATACTGTATGTTGCCGTAAAGATGATACATCCCGTTCAATGATGAGTAATTTTGTGGATGTATTTAGCACGATCCTGTCATCAAGTAGTATGGAATTGGGAGAACATTTATTATTTAGCGGATGGATAGACCGATATATGTTAGAATGTTCAAGTAAAATGGTTGGAATATTAATGAGGGTACTAATTAATATTTTTGAAAAATGCATTCATCTCTCCATGAATTCTAATACTGGTTCGTTGTTTTCTAATCTTATAATAATTGCAGTTCGTTTGTACATTTTTTTTTACATCAATTATTTATATGTAGACGGTGTAGTACAAATGTTAGATGCTTTATGGTGTTACGTCGCGTCTAGAGTAAGACAACTTGTTTTTTATCCTGCTCTTGCTAGTGATCACTATCAAGAGATCTCAAAACTTGCTGTTGCATTCACTTTGGAAGCATTGAGAAATCCAGTACTAGCAAAAAAGCACAATCATTCGGCTGTGTCTTTATTTTTGCACTTTGCAGCATCGGTAATCGTTAAAGATATAAGGTAATATAGAATTAATTATACTATCAGAATCAAAGTATATTATGTAAAACTCCCATTTTAGAATTACAAGACATTATCTGGCACAGATACTTAAGCAGGAACAAGCAATTCAAGATCTGAAGAAAGAAATTAAAAATTTCGATACAATACTTATACAAGTCAGTGAATTAAATATTTCTGAATAAAAAATTTCAAGTAATAAAGTTTTAATATCATATTTGAATTTTAGGCATGGATAAAATGTTCTATCATTGGTCACGATACAAATGGTGACGAAATAAAGGTTTTACAAAATTATTTATTGAAATTGAATGCAATACAAGAAATTTTTGAAACAACTTATGATATTCAGGAAAT